TCAAAAGTTCAAAAATTTTATATATTTAAAAGAGCAAACCAAACCATTGTCTCTCCTCGTTTTTTAACCAGAAATAGCACAAACATACGCACTGATAGATATCACGCTCTAATCATATGGTGTAGGGCGTCCTTTTGTTTCTACGCGGCGTCAATTGCATCTCCAGATTGTTATAGGCTATTTGTTTGAAGGTTTAGTTGAAGGTGGCCTAGGGGGTCGATATACTGAACACCAACAAAGGCTCTAGTCCATAGGTGCGATAGGGGGAGCAGGGTCCCCTCCAGGTGAAGAGGGTTTTGGCTATTTCTGACCTAGAAAAGTGAAGGGGGTAACTGGTACTGAGATGAATGCTGGTACGATTCTTGTCAGTAAACATGCATCCATCACTAGCTAGTCCAGATTTTCTACTCTTGCTCAGCTCTTTCTTGCGAAAGTGTGTATTCATTGATACAATGTTGATTACACAGAGAGAATCAGACATCCTTCTAATTTTTGATTATGTTTCGTTATTAACGCCACTTTGAGTGAGCAGAAGGTCTCAAGCATGCGTTTTTTTAAACAAAACGCTGTTGCTTCGATTCTCTCTTGCAGCCTTGATGCGTGAGGAAAAGAGCAGCTGGCGTTTCCTTCCAAACAAAAAGTGCCATTATAGCTTTATTTATTCTGCCGTTATACCTTGACCATAATTTCAACCTCAGGTGAAAGGGGTCAGCCAGATGCCGGCCGTAAAGTAAAGGGGTTTTATCCGCCTATCGCACCAATGCTCTAATCTACCTTATAATATGTCTTTTTTTGTTTTGTGTTCAACCTCAAAACATGCTTTTTCGCCTTTGTGTTGAGTTTGATTAAACAAAGTTTTCCTACTAATTTTGACGTCATGGGGACTTAGTTCTCAGAAATTCCAAATCAAGGCGAGCCGGACCCTGGCCCCAGCTCCGGCGCTGGTTATATCCTCAGGGGGCTAGTCGAGTGACTTATTGCTTGAGCGGCTTTAGTTGCTACCTTTTTATGATCTTTATGGAAATTTTATGATTTAGGTTTTCGTCTTGCGTAAGTGCAAATTTCTATTGATGCCATCAGAAAGTCTGAAGCGAGTGTCATTAATGGCAATGCTTTTACCTAGAATTTCTAAGGGGTTTGCGCACATCCACTTTGCTTTGACGGCAAGGTTATATGTTTTGCTGTTTTTGCGTATAATAAGGCCATTTAGAGAAAATTACCTCAATGACTTTGCTACCGATCACTACAATTACTCAGACATATTGTGCAATGCGGAAATGATTGAAGAGTATACTTTCCTTGATTCTTATTTGGCAATCACCGCATCATTTGAACCAGCTCTTGTGTCATAACATTTCAAAAAGACCATCGACTGCTTTTGTTCGATAACCTCAGACCGAATTAAAGAGAATAACATAGAAAACAGTGAATATATGGGGTATCACGACTGGCGGAAAAGATGTGGAAAAATGACAAATGAATGCCTTTGCTGATTAAGAATCACAAGAGCATGATGACATCAGATTCAAAACAGAATAAAAAATTCAGGTGTTATAGAAAGGATACATTTACACTGAAGTTTACAAATCAAAATTTCTCGAAATATCAAAATTCGCAGAACAATCTTTTACCATATTAAAGATATATATGGAGAGATTTTGATAACAGCACCGTCAAAATCCTTGCTCGCTATGTCATTGTTTTTGGTAGGCCAGGTAATACACTACCATTCGCTTACGAAAAGAAAGCATACTTCCCAAGCAAATACTCACTTCTAGTTTATTACAAAATAAATTTTCTAGTTTTTTCACGTATGCTACTTTTCATGAGCAAGATGATGCTGTAGTTTTAGAGTATTTTGTAAAAGATGGAACCTCCTCAACGAGGCCGTCACAAATAATTCAATGTTTACATTCTCCATTCCTCCTTAATCACTGGTGATGAGAATCAGCGTGATGTAATAGACATCAAAGATTTTATGAGTAAGACAATATAGGACATTGCAGAACTTGCTCGTTCATTGTGGCTGAGTACAAAACTTGCAGTATATATATGAGCAAAGCTCATGCATATCAGCACTAAGAATTCTTCTACCCAAACGAGATCAATGAACTTTCTACTAATCAGTCTTCTGCTCTTTTCCATCCTTGGAGTAAGTCTGGAGTGGCAGAGCACCAATGTGGTGGTCCACCACGTAGTAGGGAAAAAACCACATTGTCGACCACATTGTACGAGAGTCTGCAAAAACCAACGCGTCGGGGTAAGTACAACATTCACATTACTGCATAATTGCTAGCTTAAAAGATTTCCGAGGCAGAATCTCGTTTCCTTTGAAAGTAGGCGAGTCAGCGCACGTGCAGATTAAACACCGTTGCATCCGACTGATATAAGATAGTTCGTCTATGGGATAGACAGTAGAGGGCAAGAGGGGTGAGGACGCTGAGACAGCAAGGTGCTGAAGCGTCCGCGGTGAAGCCCTGTCTCTGCCTACGCTGAATCGCCTATAAGAAGAATAAAGCCCAAAGTTTCGGGAAAGTTTGCTACGGTAACGTTTTTGACACGTAGACATTTAGAAATGCCGATTTCTTCACACTCGCCCTCCTCGTCAAAAGTGTACCTTCATTAATAAACCAGTTTGTCATAAGAAGTGCACGCAACGATGCAGAAGATGATACCACCGCAGTGCACTGCGGAAGAGAAGCTTGCTGCAGGTTTCGCATTCCTAAAGGCACCTGATAATTTGTTGTGGTTTTTTGTTCTAACTTTGAAAGTACGTGGTCACTTTGATGTAATTATGTGTATTCAGTAAATATCATTACTGACTATTAGTTTGTTTCTTTGAAAGTTGTTAGTCGCGATCCGCGATACTTGTCGAAACAACGACATACGAAATGTGATCAACAAACACAATTGATTAATTAATGTTTACAAAAGTTGATGGACACAAAAAAACAACTAATAAAGAACAAATGAGACATTGAGAGTGCAACATCAAACTTGGTGAGTGCATCAGATAAGCACTGATCTTATAATAAATCCGGGGTGGCCTACCGAGTCAGGTCATTTCGCCCCTCTCAGTGCTGTAGGATAGTCCGCGATCCCTCCGCTTGTGCACTACAAGCACGCCATTATCCACTGGCCAAAGAGTTGTTATCTATCTCGATAACAGCAAAAAGGAACAAAGCCCGTAGCAGCCCACAGCAGCCCACAGCAGCCCGTAGCCGCCGCTGACCGCTTTTGTGCACCCTTTCATGCTTTCCATCCTCCACGTTTTCCTTCATATTGCCGCTAATGTGCATTTCGACTTTCACACATTACAGAGATAATGATAAACACCGATAGCCAAGGATAGATAAATAGCACTTGCAGAAACTGGACGCATCCAAAGTCAGAAAAAATCAACCGCGAAACTTTGACGAACATGGACTGCGAAAGGAAAATTGAGCACCAATACGGTAACCGATCTACGGCAACAAGATAATAACAGCAATGGACTCAAGTATGATATACGAGATTGAATTGCATACCAGCGGCAACAGGAAGCAAAAAGCGTAGACGATGAAAAGCGTGGGCGGGTGCACTCAAAGTATTAAGAATTTGATGATTTTGCGATCTATGAGACAAAAGCGGCCAGCGGCTGCTGCGGGCTGCCAGCGGCTGCTGCGGTTTGCTACGGGCTGCTGCTCAGATAATCGCCGGGGGCAGGCGGCCATGCCATTTTTGGGCAAGCGGGCACCGGAAAAATAATTCGCTGATTTCTTGCGGTCCGCTTGCAGATATTTGGAAGAATTTTAGCGAAATTTTTAAGAAATGCTTGAAGAACAATTGCGGTTTCCTTGCAGGTTAGATGCGGCGCAGTGGCCGCATTCTCGCGGACTTTCCGCGAGAATATGCAGAATTTTCAAAGGTCGCACGGCCCTTTATGGAGGACCGCGCAGCCCCCAGGTACTTTCCGCTGAGAGAAAGTACCTCAAACTTGAGTAATTGAACCATCGATGACTCCTCTGCCATGGAGTCTCACCTTTGCTCGACGTACACCCGAAAACGCTAAAAAAACCGTCCGAGCGCCAGCTGAAAATTTGACCAGCGCTCGCTGAAAGAGATTATTTGACGAGCGCCTGCTGAAAATTCTGTGTTGCTGCCCGCTGGCAGAACAGACAGTAAAGGAAGTGCCGCTCGCTGAAGGTTTGGCACGCCCCAAAATTCTGCTGAGCGCCTGCAGAAAAACGCGAGTTTGCGGACCGCCTGCCCCCGGCGATTGTCTGAGTGAGGCGGCGGCTGCCGGCGCGGTATAAAGGCACCCTTAGCTCTTTTGATAAGTACTGTTCAGTCTCACCCTCGAATCGATCCTCCCCAGTCGTACCACCTTTAACCGTGATCTCCCTCAGATAACTTCGGTATAGAGCTGCCAAACATATCATTTACCCGATGTCTCCAATCAATTTTGGTAAACAAGCTTTATAGTGTCCTAAATTTGGTGACTTTGTAGGATAATAGAATATTACACCGTGGTCGAATACATCGGATCCGGATAACTTGTTTGGTGAATACCAGCATGCTCAATTTTTGGTTTGTGAGTACCTGAGCGTCTTTTTGTGGGACCGTTCCGGAGCCCACTAATTTCGTGAATAACGGCCTTGTGAGTTAAGCCTATCCAATGGGTTCCGAAGCCAACTGGCTTCTTTGATAAATACGGCCACAGAATATTCTCACCTTCTTGAGTGTCCTACTGATAAAAACAACTCTCATGATTTCTTCTTTTTGATAAATTGTAGGAAATCTCACTAATCAAATAAAATTTAGCACATAGCGAGGTAATTTTCTCGCATTAAAAAGCAAAGGCGCCTTAGGATTTGAAAAAATCCGATGTAGACTTTTTCTTACTCCCTTACCAAGATAGAATTTGGCTACTTCAAGACTCTAAAATGTAAGCATAATCTGTAGGAAGATTAAACCTTTGCCGACAGATAATGTGGTGAATGTAGGACAAATCAGACCGAAAAAATTTTATGCAATGGTGATGACAATAGGAAATCGAATGACAGCATCACTTGAGTTCTGTAAGCTCACAAAGCTACACCATAAGCTGCTGAGGTGTCTGTTTCAGCCAAATGCAGCTCTACATCAGAATTGTGTTCTTTTAGATATTCCTTGATATGCACTAGAAAGCGCTCGTTTTTAGCGGTTCCAACGAGGTAGAGCTTTTTAACACCATAGGAGACTAGCAGTTCAGATGGTATAAGACTAAAGAGGTTGTAGATCACTCCTCGACAAATTCCGATTAGCATCTGAAGTAAATTGCTGAGGGTGAAACCATTGTAAACAGCTTTTCCATACTTCTGTCAATGACAAATCCTTCTTCATCCCAGATATGTCCACCCCTTTGTCCTCAGATCCTCGCTCTTTCGTGAACAGAGCCTTAACATCGGGAATCCGGTTTTCATCTGGATTGTGCAGCGATGTAGCTAAATAATCGAGTGAAAATTCCGCATTGTTAAAACTCCCTCAAGATATAATATTTTGATCATCAAAGTGTAAGCGTGGTGCTCCGCCAAATAAAGCTTTTGTCTTCTTCTACAAATTCACATATGCTGAATATTGTCTGTAAGAATTCAAAGATATGTGAACATAACCTTGAACATGACCTTTTTCCGTCTAGTGGAAGGAATGAAACGGAAATTGGATATTTTTCTATAATTTTCTTCTTTTTTTTTATAAAAAAGTGAAGACTGAAGTGGAAAACTATTGGTCAAAAATCATAAGCTTTTGTGCTCTTTATGTGCTTATAGGCTTTACAAACGAAGTTAAGTAGGAATGATGGTCACGGAAAACACATTCTTACGGCTGAAAGGAGTAAACCGGGTATCGCTCTATATCAGTGAACAAAGCGAAAAAAGAAGTCCCGTATTTTGGAGATGCCACCTTGCCAATTCAAATCGACAGAGAAGATCATTGCAAAAGTCTCTTTAAAAGAGTATGTATGCATTCTTGCAATACTTTCCACGTCCAATTTGGCAGCTTCAGCTTGAGATTTGGTCACAGCTTCAAAAATCGAAAGATCGGTAATTACCACATAGACAAGGCCCAAATTGCACCGTATTCAAGCGTATTTTCATAAAAATTAACTACTAATTGATGATCCGCCATAAAGTACCACTAACATTACTCCCGGATGATATATTTGTACCTGTTGGAAAAACGAAAAACCGAAACAAACCTTTATCAACGCCAGAAAAAATGTGCCCTTTATCAATCTGACAAGAGCAATCTTTGCCTGACGCTTCGGAACACCATCGTTGTATCATCTGAAGACACCAACATTACCAGAAAAATTATATATCAAAAACATCGTTACTATTTAATCATGCAAATAGATAGCTTCAAATCACTTTTACATCATTTTCGACTATGTCTTGTGCGTGAAAAGGCACATTTCTTTACAGGCTGCCCTTCTTTCAGGGGATCGGATCCGATTTTTCTACGCCATCCCAAGAACATATTGGAATCCCTATTTTACTAAAAGAAAATGAATTCTTTTGCAATTGTCAAAGGAAATAATACAGTCTATTCATATGGTATTGTTGCATGCAAAGTTTGGTGACGGATCGGGACAGATTTACTTTGTTTTGACTAAAAGCTTATGGTTGTGGGCACAAAGGGGGGGGGGGGAGAAGAAGGTGGGACTCCCACTAAAAGTATTGGTATTGCAAGTTCATTCGAATCTGTCCTTCTTTCTTCTGCAGAAAGCTCACTTGGCCAAAGTCAAATACATGGAACGCTTGTCGGACTGCGTCTTACTTTTTCTCAGCCTCAGAATTCTGAAAAAAAAAACCTACCGCTAAGAAAGCATCGAGAGTATTGCCGCCATTCATCGATGCAGCTGCGACAAGCGTTAATCCTTTGGCAAATGGAAAAACATGAGTCGTCACGGGTAAGTCAGGAAGTTCAACATCATCAGGAAGCACAAAACACAACTGAGCAGATGTGCCAAGTATCAAATCTAAAAAAAATTAGTTTCAAGTTTTAGGGGGTATATTGCCAGTAGATTCAACGGTTATTACAGCGTTCGCGTTGCAGACAAAATTTGCGCGTAAACAATCAACTTGTGCACTCTATGGCCATTTTTACGTACAAGTCGAAAGCAGACTGTCAGCTTTCACAACCACGGCTATTTTCGCGCTGATGTCGTCGTCACCGCAAGTGCACTACTGCCCATCAAATCTACTGGACTGTTTACATTAGCTTACATGCATGATCAGATCCACTGTAATGTCCCCGAACAGCCATGATACAAGCAGTAAGATCTGCATATGCCACGCTAACTGGGATATTTTCAAGGCCTTCTAGACGGCAATCTCCAAGCTTTACGAATGTCCCTGCATCGGTACGCACAATTTTTGGGAGTTGAATCCAGTCCGGTGTATATGGAAGCTAAATCATCTACTTATTTGCCACTTCTTCAGAGAAGTTGCAGTCTCTCAAGTCATGTTTGAGCAATATTCTCCCCCCCCCCCTCCCCTTTTCCCAGCCGCCTTCCATAAAATATCTCACTACAAAATTGCAGTGCCGGCTCGAGGTGGTTTTTCAAATTTTTTGCAGGCTCACTAATGATCTAAAAAAGGACGTGGTTTCGAGCTAGATTACAAAAAGTATTTGATTACTTCAAAGTAAGAACGAGTAATTAAAAAATTCATGAATTGTAAGCAATGTTAACTTCAAGAGACATCAAACTTGCCGGTCGAAGAGTCAATAATTTCGGCAGCCAAGCCTTACTTTTTATTTCTTATTCAGAATAACAAAGCCAAAAAGTGTTCGGAAGAGGTGAAAGAATCGCTGCGAAATGCTGAAGTAGAATATAGAAGAAGGAAGGTCTTATTTGAGCTTAGAGACAGTAAAGAAGAGCTAGTTATATTTGCTTCATTCTCGATATTTTTCAAGAACCTAGGGCCTAACTTCACGAGAATGAGTTGTGAATTTTCCAAGGGGACTTATATGCCTCAAAAGACCTAACTTCCCGAGAAAGAATGGTGGAATTTCCAAGGTGGCTTATATGAGTTTAAAAATTGCAAGACAGGAGAAAAAAGGCCTTATTTGAACTTAGGGACAGTAAAGAAGAACCGATATATTATATCTACTTCACTCCCGATACTTTTCAAGAAGCTAAACCCCAGAGAATGAGTTGTGGAAATTTTCCAAGATGGCTTATATGAGTCAGAAAATTGTGCAAGAGACTTATCTCTACTTCACTTTAGAACAATTTTAAGAATTTTTCAAAAATTCGGCTAGCTTTGCAAAAAAAACTTTTCCCTCAAAGGTTGCGGCCAGCCTAACTTTCCTTGAATTTTGGGTTATGGCCCAGCAAGAATTTGAGAAAGCAGCCCAAAAACTATTCCATTCGGACATTTCTGTCCCTGAAATAATTTTTCGGACGCCATTGTCATATACCTTGCAATCTTTTTAGAAACATGGTTCCGAAGACAGGGTCGGCTCAACACACCAGCAATCCCATTATTTCGTCAACTCACTATTTCACTATTCCATTCCAAATCAGTCGAGTATCCCCAAGCATAAGCGTTGTGGTTACTCATCAATACTTCGTCGCTTCCAGTCAAGTAGCAGGCGAAGTAATCCGTTATGTTACCACAACGATCCCAGTGCTTTTCGGGATCAAATGACGAGTGAGAGGCTAACTCGCAAAGGGTGCGCATGCCATACCCAGGGAAAACGCGGTTACTAGTGGATCTGAAAAATTTTGCTGGCAGACGGTTTTAATATATTTCTCTCACTTACTTAGGCAGCTTGGGGGCAGCAGGATCACCAGGATACATCCAGTTGTACAATTCAGAGCAATCAAGATCACCTGAACAATTAAACGAGAATAAGAGCAGAGAGGTGAGGTGAGAATTCTTTAGGAGAACCAGTGGGAGGGAAGGAGGCAACAGAAAAACATTTTAGCAAAATAAAAGGATTTGAGGAAAAAAACAGAAGTCAAAAGACAAAGTTTTTAAAAAAAATTCGAAATCATTTCTTAATTACTCGGTTACTACTGTCAAGAAGAAAAATAAAACATTCTCAGTGCAAAACACCTCAAACTTTGTCCCCCCCCCTCCTCTCAAAGTCCCTCTCCCCTCTCCCTGCATTCATCCGCGTTTGAAGGAGAAATGGAGAAGACCAACAGTTCCGTCGAAGGCGGAACATTAGATGCAAAAATAACGAAAAAAGGCGCTATTCCATTTAATACAACCCAAAGAATGAAAACCACGGATTTCACTGAAAATTCGCTCAAAGGGGTTACTCGACGTCCTGATCACGAAAACGATATCTATTTTGCATGGTAGGGCTTTCTTTGAGGGGTTACGGTAGGCATACGGTGTGGGGTTAAAATCTCGGAAATCGCTAAGACTTCGCGTAGGGGAGTTATTCGACATGCTGATCACGAATATCACACTTTTTCCGCACAAAACCTCTCCCTTTACGGTTGCGGTAGGTGTACGGTAGGGGGTCAAAACCTAGACGCTGGAATTTGGTATGGAGGACTTATTTAGCACGCTGAACATGGTTACCATATTGACTATGTACGGTAGCGCCATTTTCTCGAGTTACGGTAGGTACACGGTACTATAGTTAGAACCGAATATTCGTGTTCGAATATTTTATTCGAAATATTCGACTATTCGAATATTCGAATAGTCGAATATTCGAGAAAGTCCAATTATTCGATTATTCGAATAGTCGAATAAATGAAAAAGGCCTGTATTCGAATAATTCGTTCATTCGATGATTTGGAAAAATGAGTTATTCGAATATTCGTTTATTCGAGGATTTTTAAAAAACAGTTATTCGAATATTCGAATATTTAGAAACATTCATTCGAACATTTGATGTCAAAAGAAAACTTCAGCTGTTCTACACTGAGTACAAGTATGTCCCCGATAGGTCAATCACGCAAATGAATCACATGACAGAATGGCTAGCAAGCTTCCCTTTTAAAGGCATAAGTCGCGAATCATACCAGAGCATAGTCACGGCAAGTCTTATGCATAATTCATTTGGAGTGCTGAACTATCTTCTGGAAATCGAGTCTGAGAAGCTGAGATGCGATATCATGCGGAAATACCTCCAAACTCTAAATTGGGTGAAGAAGCAAAGCCGTCATTGGGCGCTCTTTAGCGGACCACCGGTCCTCAAACAGCTTGCATAAGCATGTGAAGGACCAGCCCCTTTAAAGGGCCGGGCATGCTTCACGTGCTTCATTTCAGTCGCGAGCGACCAATTCGCCAAAGGTCTTCAGATCCAACATTAGCAAACTGCACATGCATAGTACGTATGACTTAGGTGGACTGATAGAATGTTCTGTCTTCTGCACGTATAAAATGTGCTTATAGTGAGTTATTGACAATTGGGATATTGCCAAATCGCGTCGCGACTAAAATCGCTTGAAGTATGCCCGGCCCGTAAGGCAGCACGTTTAGGCAACATTCATTCACTCATTCATCTCGAGATCTCCACTTGCCTTGTCAGCCTAATCACCGCCCGCATGTGAAAATACCTGAAAGATACGTTAACCATCGCAAGGCCAGAGCAAGGTGGTCGTAGGGACCTGAGCCGCTTAACTTATGGCGGCAGCCTGTATGTCAGTCACTATATTCAAATCGGCTGCCCTTATAGTCAGGAGGCGTAAAAAAAACTAGTGTTAGGATGTTGCAAAGTTCGTAGAGGAATTATACTTCAAGTAGGCGTATAAGTTGAACAATAATTATTTTTAACCTGAGTAAAAGAGATGGAAGATCTGTTACAACAGTACAAACCTCAAAGATATAGCCAAAACAACTTCGTGAAAATTCAATCCTACAAAAGGAACTGTGAAACTCTGCGATTGATAATTTCCGACAAGTACTAGATTAGCAGCTAAATTTCCGACAAGTACTAGATTAGCAGCTAAATTACAGATTTTTCCAGGATTCTTTTCTGGATTTGGATGCGCACAAAAGTATTATGTAGACAACAGTGCGTCACCTCTGCTGCAGAGGTTCACTGATTCTATAGGTCTACGTAGGCCTGGAAATATCTGTAATTGTCTGTACTGTACTTACTGTAGGCCTTCCTCGTGCTCTCGCAGGGCTAGTCTCAGAACTCACACAACGCTGACCATCACGAATAAGTTACGAACAACTACATCCCTTTTCTAAAAGGCTTTCCATGTTGAATCTTCAGTTTTGGGAGGAAGTTCTGTTTAGCTTTGGGAAAAACTTCTGTGAGGAAGAATAAATGCGGAATTGAAACGGTTACTAAGTAAGGCTCAGTAGCCATCTCAAAAGCCGATGAACACCTTGAACTACATGTTTGAGTAAAATTCTTTTATTTCCTAGGTGGAACCCCGACCAAGTGACAATAACCCAGTCATCCTTACCATTTGCTACGCATATAATTATCAGAGCTACAAATCTAGATCAAATATAGCTATTATTTTTTTGCAGAAAACTGCAACAAAGAAAAAAACCAGCATTGTTTGTGGCGCTAGATTATTCGAGTTATTCGAATAGTCGAATATTCGGAGAGGTATGATTATTCGAATATTCGAATAGTCGATTATTCGAACATATGCAATTATTCGATTATTCGAATAGTCGAATATTCGACCAACCCCATTTATTCAAATTTTCGTTCATTCGAATTTTGAAATGTAGCATTATTCGAATATTCGAATTCGAATAGTCTGAAAATCACAGATCGAATAATATTCGTTCGTTCGAATATTTTTCAAAAGCCGATTATTCGAAATTCATTCGTTCGACGAAATTTTTCGCTCGTTTCAACTATACACGGTACATGGGGTGAAAATTTTAAAATTGCTTGTAGCGTTGCCTAGAGGGGTTTTCAAGCGGATAACGAATATCGGACTTACTCGCTATAACAACGCTTTGCTGTGGAGTTATGGCAATTTGCAGCGCTTAGGAAATCATCTTCCCGCTTTTTAGACCAATTAAGATCCCAAAAATTCACGAGAAGGCCTTATAAGCGAAATGAGCGCGGTGTTCGCGATGAGCACATCAGATAACACCCCTGCACAAATTTTCAGGCACACATACTGTTTTGATCCCCTGCCATGTACTTACCGTAACCGTACAAGAAGAGGTTTTCGTGCGGGAACAGCGTGCTACTTGCGATCAGCATGTCAAATAACCCATTGCGTAAAGTTTTAGCGAAATCTGAGATTCTGAACCCATACCGTATGCCTACCGTAACCCCTCAAAGAAAGCCTCACCATGCGAAATAGATATCATTTTTGTGATCGGAAGGTCGAGTAACCCCTTTGAGCGAATTTTCAGCGAAATCCGTGGCTTTTAATTTTTGGGTTGTATTAAGTGGAATAGTACCAAAAAAATTTGTTCAATTCAGTCGGTGCTGCAGCTTTATCGTCAAGTCGTCGACCGCAGGGACAGGCCGTGAATTGCGGAACATACGCGCGGCGCGGCTAGAATGTGACAAGAGCACGACTTGTACAATCGCGATTTTATTGTACAAGTCTTTGGTCGCGCGGCGCGTTCTCCACAGTCTACGGCCAATCCGTGCTGTCAACATTCCTTGGTATTTCTATTCTTACTAGACGAAAGAAAAAGAACACTGTTGAATGTGAACACCACCGGAAAGGTTAAAGAAGAAACAAAAGGGATCTCCCATCAGATATGCTGCTTACATCTTCATAAATAATACTCACTGTGCCTCACCACGTCGTATCGCATCCGAGTTCCACAAAACTAGCCCATGCTGTTGCCCAGCTACCGCTATTCGACTGATTTCTTGTCCAAATTCAGTTCGAACTCGTTTCACTACATCCTGAGTTAGATAAAATGAGTCAATGTAACTGCAAACAACCTAGAACCTTCAAAAGATTTTCCGCTATGGTGATGATCTTCCGAGCATCTTGTACTCCTAGACGATTAGGTAAGTTCGTTCTATGATGGGCATGGCCTTCTGTCAAGATCCTGAAAGCTACATACTTTTATCTCTGCAACCCCACAGTCAAATAGGATTTCTTGCTATTGCGTGCATTTGCACACATTAGGATGGGGTCCTTGGGGAATAAAGTCATGGATGTATATTAAGCGGCACAATAAACATGAAAATTTCTTATGGAATGATATACTTTACCTTTCTTATGTTTTGCTGCTTGAAAAATTTGTGTATTCTCTTGGTATTTTATTAAACACAGTGTGTGTTCATAAGTCAATTATATTCTAAATACTTGAAGGACAGCAAACGCCACATCCTGGGAAATGGCAACTACTCAAAAAGCCTACACTTTGTCTCAATGACACGATCGCCGTTCGCGCGGCTTGGGTCATGCGCGGCCGCAGGACCCTGCGCCGCGTCTGCGAACGTAATTCTAGGCATCTTCCCATTAGCCAGCCTTCAAGCCCGCTCAGGCACGGGAAAAATCCCAGAAGGCTTGTCCGCAGACGAGGAGCAGGCAAACGAGGCCGCCGCGCGGGCCTGAGCAGCACGAGCCGGGACACAACAGAGTGTACGACTGTAAGGAAGTCCTATACAAAGTAGATGTTGTTGCGGATTTCTGCTTTTTTTTCTAGATAAGACACCTTTTCATTCTTTGCACACACACATCTCGACTTTGTGATAGAACGCAGGAGTTCGCAATGAGGGTCAGTTTCCTAAGGCATAAAATTTACTAACTTGTCTCCCTGTACAACGCAAATCTTCACAGAGGTAGTGCCCAAATCGATGCCGAGCGAGCAAGACATGTGGGAAGCTCTTACCTCTGAAACTTATTCCGATTAGGAGTTAAAGGCTTTGTCCGGGCAAAAACTCGATTTTGAGATTTTGTGCTTATACCGGCCTATTTGCCATGCTGAATTCGAAAATCCACACTGGAAAGCACAAAAACGGCAAAAAGGGCTCTAGCGCAGGAGGGAAACAGCAAGTGGGCGGAGTCCTCCCTACTGTGAATTCACGCTCCCAGCTTCCGGAGCTTTCTTCTCGATTCCGCTAGCCGTCCATTGCTGCCGGCCAAGTGCGAATGATTGACTTGAAAACGGAAGCGAGAAGACCTCTCCGAAGCTGGGAGCGTCAATTCACAGTGGGGACGACACCGCCCACCTGCTGATTTCCCTCCTGTGTTAGAGACGTTTTTCGCCGTTTTCGCGCTCTCCAGTGTGCATTTTCGGATTCAGCATAGCGAACAGGCCCGGGTAAGCACAAAATCTCAAAATCGAGTTTTTACCCGGACACTGCCTTCAGGAATCAGTAGTGTGAAGGGTAAGCGAAAAACGAGCGAATTTATTGGTGTCGATATTGCTCCAATGAATGATTTAGAAAAAATGGGGAAGCCATGCATGTGAAGGTCCTAAAGTAGTTTACTATGGTACTTTCAACAAAGAGAGCCCTGTGTGCAGTCAAATGCGATGGAACATCGAAAGCGAGTACAGGGGCAAAACGTTAACTGATAGAGGTCCAGCGCTTCTGTTAACCACGTCAAGACGACATGTTCAGCTGGCAGTACACCTGTTTCTCTTAAAATACATGTACAGACGATTTGTTTTGGAGACGAACGATATTTCTGTAATCATGCCGAAAATATTCGCGGATTTTCTTGGTCTATGTGAGTGCTCTACGCTGATCGCAGTTGCAATAGTTAAAAAGTTGCTCAATTTAGAAAAACTCCAAAATTATTTCAATTGCTTACGAGCAATAATAAGGCAGATGCAATCTCAAAACTCATATAAGCAACTTTCAAAAATTTCAAGACCCACTTTGGGGAAGGAGTGGGGTTGTTATTTTCGCACCATTCACCATAGCGTTCAGGGTAAAGGAGTGATGCGTAGTGAAACGAACTTCATCACCCAAAAAAAAAAAGAAATGCACATTGTGTACCTTCAAAAATCGTGCAAACTATAAAGGAATTGTCAAGCCTTTGCAAAACACTTCCATTTCTTTCTTGCAATTTTTTCGTTACATTCTTACATGTATTGTAATAGGCTTTTCTATTCCCTTACTTCTATCTCTTAGGTCAATTTTTCTAGGTAGGAGCGGGCAAAGAGCATGGCTCCTCAAAAAATATTATTTGGAGCTAAAATGTGGGGCAAGTGTTTCCACAAAGTTTTGACCATTCGAAGAGAAGCTGTGTAAATATGCTGCGTCGTTGTAAACGCGTTTGAGCTGATAAGAGCAGAAGGTAAACCGAAACCAGCCGGCATGAAAGAACAATGATAGAAGAAACTGTGCGACAAAATACTATTTTGTAATATTATATGCGACTATAAAACAAAAACAGCATTTTTGCATGTGAAAATACGACAAAAGTACTTCTTTGAACGAAGTTTCTACTAAGTTATGCATTCATGCGATGTACAATTGCTACAATCGATGTGCAAAAAAAAACAAGAATGTAACAATAGGCAAAGTGATAATGTTAGCGAAGTCAGTCTCAAAAGCAGCAGTAAACTTAGTTCTTTTTCAACTCGGCCACAGAATTGATGAAAGTCAAAAGAAAAAGCAGGCATCCTTGGCGTCCTCAAGAAAATAATATGAAATCAAAGAGCTGGTTTACTTCTATAATGAGGAACTGAGCGATGGACGCGATAAGTTTCCGAACCTTGTTTTCAAACCATATTTACTGCACAGGGCTTGAGAGAAAGAAGAAATCAATGTGCGCCTTTAGAAACCGATATAGCGATGGACAGCGTGGAATGCACGTGTCACAAAGGCATTCTAAAATAAAGCTAAATCCTGTGAAATGTTTCTGTTTGAAAGTATTCAATCTAAAAATATAGAAAGAACTATAATATATTCAGGCATCATAACTGTTTAGGTTAGCAAAAGGAGGAAGAGTTGCTACAAAAAAGATGTTTGCTAAATTTCGTCCATATTTATATGAAAAAACAAACAACTTTTACTTTTCAAAATATAAACCATTTTGCAAAAAAACAGCTTTCTGTGGAAAAAGATAAGATGTGCGTTTGAATGTAGCGGAATACATCGTACAAACGATGTGCCACCGCACAAAATTATCAATACATAAAATAATTGTGAACAACAGCACAAAAGGGTGAGAAAAAAAAGGTTAGCATAACTTTAAACTCTCACTTCGGTACACCCAGTAATAAATTCTGAGAAATCTTTGAAAAATGAGTAAGATGTCTATGCAACTATTAATAAGCAAGCCAATTATCAATATCTGTTGTTGAAGATTGCTCTTATTATTTAGGTAGTCTTCCGATGTATTTGATACAGAACTCGACCAAGCAGTCTTGAACGCCAACGATGTTAGATTTGAGGTATACCTGCCTTTTATAAGAACAAGCAAGGCTTGGGAGCTATCACCAGGCTCGGCACAGGTGGCTTGTAAGCCAGCTGGTATCGTTTTTTGGGACGAAAAGCAAAGGGGGTTTCGTTTTTGTGACCGAAGAGACATGGAAAATTGGCGACGGCGACCTTTTTTTTTTAGTCGACGTTTCGTTTTTTGGAGGATTTTTAGGGGAAATGGTGGGGGGTCAAAGGGGATTTCGTAAAAATACCCAAAAGTCAAGGGGGACTTCGTTTTTCGCATTTTCATTTAGCCACCTCGTGCCGAGCCCTGATCACCAGTGCCTTGACTTTCGCAAAGTTTTACAAAGCCTCTTTGAAAATACTAAACGTACGCAATTTTCGTGTCTTTCTGGCCATAAAAACGATATCCCCTTTGCTTTTTTCCCCAAAAATGATATCCAGCTTGACCCGGTGCCAGGTGGGCCGAGCCCTACTACGAGTGACGGCTGTCCAGAGAATATTCTCCAAAGGGAGAAGGAACGTGACAAAATTTTGCTCCAGGTGAAGAGACGTAGTCCCTACCGGGTCCTCCCAGGAAAATTCTTGGATACTTTTTGAGCGGGAAGAAATTCTTTTACAAAGCTGATCTGTAACTCTAATTTTATTCACAACGATTCATTACAACGCGGAAACCTTGACGATGTCTACAAGGCAGTTTATGATAGTGGAACTAGAAGTGATGGACCTTTGTCAGCAGAACGATTTCGAAGTACGCACACTTGCACTACTCAAAATTGCCTTGTAAAGATCATCGCGGTTTCTGTATTGTAATGAATCTTCGAGATTAAAGTTGATTTATTTTGATGAAATTCAGTTGACTTCAATTTTTGAGCAAAAGAGCTTTGCGCCACTACTCATGTATCCATTTTCAAGAATTTCGCGAAACATGTTCGAGGGAGAAGAGGAGGAAATGAAGTTGTTCAACATAAGCTAACATTTCTGGTCAAGGTTTTAATCTGAATTGGATACGATGGCGAAATTTGAATAATCAACTTATGAAGAAACGTAAAACTTTGAAAAAGGAAACGGTAAAATCCGCATTTTCTACGACTATCATTCGGTCAGTACCCTTTCCCAACTGTTGTACAAAAACATAGAAGAAAACCTAGAGAAAAGTCATTTCGAAAATCACAGCGCAACGGCAAAATGAGTGTGTACTAATAGGTATGCAAGAGAATTTGTTTCTGCAGCAGCCACACCAAACTTTAATGCTTTGGAGAGGTGAATAACCAGGCATCTTCTGATAGTTCCATTACTGGTTCATTTATTTAATAACTTCTGCAGCTCTAGTGACTGGAAACTGTAATAGTAAGGTAAAATTTACATTCTGCATCGTCATTCTTTACAAAATAGTCTTGTTATGAAAGTGCAAGTTGGAGACAGTGTCCCGGATGTACCGGCAAAATTTCGCACTCTACTATTTCACCTTTTCGGCTTTCTCGCTATGTTAAAGCCACACCTGGGCTTTGCAGCGCATGAAAATGGCAAAAAAGCATATTCAAAAGCTCTTCATGTCCGTATCCGCTTCAAGATACGCGTAAATGTGGGGTCCGGAACGAGGATGGGCACGGAAAGACTTCCGGAGTAGATTTCGGGTTTTTCAAAGGCACTTTTGCGCTCTGAAGCTCATTAATAGATTAGTTGAAGGTCTGCCACTGCAACGCTCAAAAACTTCAATACCCATCACTCTGCCGGGACGCTGCCTTCAAAGCACACTCACAGTAATCATTTGTTTAAAAAATGAGTAATGCTTACTTGCCCAATATTACAAGCCCTGGTTTCACCTTGTCCTCAGGGACATAAACTCAGCACTTGTGTTCCCAATTAACACCGTCCCTCGCTTGCAAGTATACTGTTGTTGGTGGTCTGCGCTGCGCTCACAATTTCAAGTGCTGTGGCTATATCGCTAATGTCTCAGATATTCTCCGTTTCAAAAGCACGTCTGCGCACTCGTTGGTGGTCTCTCTCGAGGGCTTTTTTCTTTGCCAATGACACACTCTGATATCCTTAGTATCCAAATGTCGTCTGTTCTTCTCATAATGTTACCAGAACATCGGTGTGATGGTTTCGCTACCTATTTAGTTAAATCACGAAGGTGCAACATTTTCATATCCGTACTTCAGAAGGCGCTCAAGCATTCTTCTGGTGGTCCGTAAAGCCTTCGATGAAGGCAGTTTCAGCCTAGATTTCACGATGCTTACTTATTCCCCTGCTGTTGGGGAAATCAGCGTGACGAATAGCGGTGTGGAGAAGCGTATCAAGTAAAAGTGAATCTGCACATGTGCATGCAGACCATGTGGGCCAGGTATGGCGCGTGCCACGTCGCGTGGTGTAGCGGATATCGGATTCGTCAACCAGTCGGTGGCCGTCAAAGGCAAGGACAGCCTAGACCGCTCTATTTCTCCTGTTAAGTTCCTCCCCAAAATCGTTCTCGCTATTCAGTGAGCTTCATAAATAATTACTTAGACACTTATATGTCCAGTCTTCACGTGCGGGCCTCAGCACAGAAGTTTCCATTTGTGCCTGTCCCTCGCTTCAAACATCCACGATCTTCTTGGTTGCCGTCGGTGGCTGTGTCCACGAGTTTCAGGTGCAAAAATCGTATCCAGCTTATTTCTCAGTGGCCCATCCGTTCCACGGACACGTCTGCCCATCTCGTTGGTGTTCTTCCTCGGGGACGTTTGGCTTCGCGGGAAATCCACTCAGATGTTCCTAACGTCCATCTGTCTTGTGTTCTTCTCATGATGTGACCGGCCCATCGCTGTTTCGCTTTCGCAACGTATTCCGCTGGGTCACGAAGACGGAACATTCTTCTCATATCCGTACGGCGAAGTCCGACTAGATGCTTGTGTCGGGCCATCGTCAGAAGAGTGCGCTCAAGCGCTCTGTGGGTGGTGGATGGAGCTTACGACGGATAGACACAATGTGGTCCCAAGTCTCAGCTGCGTAACAAAGCCGGGGAACGGTTGAGTTGAACAGGCCACGAAGTCCAGGGTTCGTCAGATGGTCGGTAGCTTCCTTCAGAGGCCCGAAGGCCGCCGGGTTGCTGTTCTTCTCCTGTTAAGTTCTTCCCCCAAGCCATTCACCATGTTCATCGAACGTCCGAGATATACGTAAGAAGATGTCTCCATGGTAGAAAGCCTTCCAATTCCATTACTGCATCTTCGCAAAGGGCGTTCTTCATGAACTGAGTCTTCTTCTGATTTATTCGCGATCCAATATTCTTCCCTCTTTGCTTCAGCGTCCTGCTCAAAAGAGTACATTGTCGTCCAAAAAACAAAGATTCGACAGGAGCCTTCTATCGACCCGTATGCCCTCGTCTCCAGTGACTTCACCACCCACTGCAAGGCTGCGGCGAACAGCTTCGGCGAGATTTTGCCGCCTTCTCGGATCCCCTTCCCAACTGGTATGGTCAGGGGGCGATGGAACTCGTCCTCACGTAAGCTTGGTCCACTCCTTGATCGACTTGTGCTACAGGATGGCATTGGTTTCGACGCTGTCGAAGGCTTCCTCGTAGTCGGTGAAGGTTAGAGGCAGTCGGTATCCCCGACAGACTTCTATGACCCTCGAAATCGTCTAGATGTGCCTCATGCAGCTGAATCCTTAGCGAAATCCGTCCTTAGAGGTAGGGTTCAACCAGTGTCCTATATATGCACAAGGATAATCTTCAAGCTTGATAAACACACTCAGCAGGCATATCGGATGGAAGTCTCGAAAATTCTCCCTTTAGCCATTTTCGAGAAGGACGGCTTGAAATTCCACTGGTCGGAAATCTTTTGCTTCTGAAGATAAGATGTTAGGTGCGACGCTAGAATCTCGTGAAGACGTTGTCCTCCGGCTCGCAGAAATTTCACGGAAAGATGGTCGGGTCTTTGAGCCGTGACGTCTTCATGGTTCTAAACCACGGTGGCACTTTACCAGTGGGCACAAGTACTGATGTGCGGAAGACGTTAGTGTAAAAGTTCTTCGTGGTAGATTCCATCTTGTATCAGGGAAAAGTCGGGGTCCTGTCTTCGTTCTATAGCGCGGCCAGTGGCACGTGACATCCACAGAGGTCCCTCTGGCATTTCTTAAAATTTCGTCTTCCTTCAGCTGCTTCCAGTATCTTGGCTTGCCTGTACTTACTGAGATCCTCCTCCAAAGCTGTTTTGCAACTGGTGTTTAATCTTCCTTCGAGTAATTCCTTGGTGGTCTTCGAATTGCGTCCCAAGTTCTTCTCGGAAGTCACTGAGGCGCACTCTCCACAGGCTCGCACTTCCAAAAGCCGGTCGCAGTCGTACGTCAGGTCCTCCTCGATGAGCCAGTCACAATTTGATGTGAGCTCTTCCAGCTTGTTACCGTCATAAACGACATTCTTTCTTTTTGCGGCCCTGTGGCAGACCCCCTTTTCCAGCTTTCGACTGAATCGTACTTCGCGCGAAGGAGGCGGTGATCGGAGCCACTGCAGAAGGATGAACTAGTGAGACATAGAGCGACCCCACTTTCGAGTGTTAAGAATGTGGTCACTCCGCGTGAACTGTTGGATAGAGACAAATTCCTCCACCAGACGTCCCCTCCACGGATTGTTAGTTCCAACACAGTACCCATTACTAGCATGCGTAAAGACTAGTGTTCCACGGTGGCGGCGTCCAATCAAAGTAGGTGTTCCGCTACTCCCCTTCGCTGGCCGTTTCCAATGTCCATACCTTGTTCACAGAGGCTTTCGCCAGTGCTTTTTACAAATTTCTATTGCACATCTTTGTCATGTTTCTAACGCCACTACATGAGTAGTCTGACATGATGAAAGAACTTGGGAAAAAGTCAGTAATTTTGGGACGCTTCAGCCACACTGTCAAGTACGATAGCCGTCTGCAAAGAGAGGAAGAACCGCCGAGCCGTTAACCGCACGTGTTCGCCACACAGCGCGTGGCGTGCTCCACGGTAACAGCAAATCCGTGCGCTCGACCACCCCGGGTAGAGGACTATATGTCGCCGAAAAAGGGCGGTCCCGCGGTCATTTGCGACAAATACACACCCTTACTCAGACACTCGCTGCGGCGGCGGGCGCGCCATAATAGCGCTACAGTGCGAGCGGCGCGCCCTATTTGAGGCTATTTGAGGCTGCCGTGCGAGCGGCGCGCTTTGGTTGAAGCAGCAGTGCGAGCGGCGCGCCATAGTTGAGGCTTCAGTGCGAGCGGCGCGCCATCATTCGCAGCCAGCGAGCGGCGCGCCTTATTACGGCCGCCGGCGCGCCTACTCGACACTCGGCGCGGCGACGATCGCGCCAATACAGCACTGTATCGCGAACGGTGCGCCCTAGTTGGGAGTGCGAGCGGCGCGCAATCTATCAGTGAGCCGCGTGCCATGATATTTTCCGCATTCCCACACGCTGTAAGCACAAACGATACCCGCGTGAAGTACGACGCAGTGTTTTGAGTGCTTTATCGCTAATTCATTGAGGTTATCGCTGTTTCGCAATGGAGTTGTCTCATTAACACAAGTGGGATTCTTCCAGTTCTTCCACTGAGGGTTAGTCTTCATAAGCACTGCGAGTAGGTGCCGAGTTTGAATTCAAACTAGCTGGCTTACCCGGCTCCGCCGTATCCGGACCAAACTTGGCACACATACACTTCGGGCCCCGGCGGGTGTCACAGTCCACTTTTCGTTATCGATCGATGTCGATTTTACCGATTTTTATCGATTTTTTTGCAGAGTTCACCTACAGGGCTAGGAGTTGGCACAGGGGGGGAAGTGAGCATGGGGATTCCGAATACAATATTAGTTTTCAGAATTATCGATTACTTATATTGATTTTATCGATTTTTTGTAAATTTTGACATGCGAGGCTGGGATTTTGCACAGGGGCGTAATCGAGCATGCTGATTACGAACACAATATTAGTTTTCAGGATCGTCCATTACTTTTATCGATTTTATCGATGTTTTTGTAAAGTTTGACCTGCGGGGCTGGGAGTTTGCACAGGGGGTAATCGAGCATGCAGATTACGAATACAATATTAGTTTTCAAGATCGTCCATTACTTTTATCGATTTTATCGATTTTTTGAAAATTTGAGCTAGGGGGCTGGAATTTGGCACAGGGGTGTAATCGAGCATGCTGATCACCCCCTTGGGGATGATCAGCATGCTCGATTACCCCCCTGTGCCAACTCTCAGCCCCCTAGCTCAAACTTTGCAAAAAATCGATAAAATCGATAAAAGTAATCGATAATCCTGAAAACCAATATTGTATTCGGAATCCCCATGCTCGATTACCCCCCTGTGCCAACTCCCAGCCCCGTAGCTCAAACTTTGCAAAAAAATCGATAAAATCGATAAAAGTAATCAATAATCCTGAAAACCAATATTGTATTCGGAATCCCCATGCTCGATTACCCCCCTGTGCCAACTCCCAGCCTCGTAGCTCAAACTTTGCAAAAAAATCGATAAAATCGATAAAAGTAATCGATAATCCTGAAAACCAATATTGTATTCGGAATCCCCATGCTCGATTACCCCCCTGTGCCAACTCCCAGCTCCGTAGGTGAACTCAGCAAAAAAATCGATAAAAATCGATAAAATCGATATCGATCGATGACGAAAAGTAGCCTATGACACCCGCCGGGGCCCGAAGTGTATGTGTGCCAAGTTTGGTCCGGATCGGTTCAGAAATGGAATTTTCTATTCGGAACATACGTACATACATACATACATACATACATACATACAGACAGACATACAAACAGACATTCAGCTTTATATATAAGATTTGAAAATTTGAATTCTCGAATTTTTGAAATTTGAATTTTCAAATTCAAGGTTTGGAAACTTTCAAGTTCATAACTGAAATTGAAGCCATTGTTTGCCTGAAATTGAAGATTGTCAACAGGTCTACTACAGATTCACCGTGATTCGCAGTGCTTCAAATGTGAATGGCAATTTTCATACCGTGCGAGCGGCGTGCCATTCGTGTGGCGCGCGTTCCATCCACTCACGGCGCGCGTTCCAGTTACTCGCGGCACGCGCGCCATTTGACGGCCAGCGGCGGGGGACATGAGGGGCCGCACGCATAAGGCGCGCGCGCCGCCGCAGCGAGTGTCTGAGTATATATGCGCGGACATGCGTTACTGCAGGAAATCCGTGCGGGACTCTTTCATATTCGGCGACATATAGTCCTCCACCCGACAACTCCACAAAAAATAACGCGCATTTCTCGTTACGCGGATATGACCTCGACTATATTTTGTAATCCATCCACATTATCTAGAGCCTGACTTCGCAGTCTACCTAAAGTTTATTGCCGGGCAGCGCGAAAGTTGAGAAAGCGCGAACGCGCGCGCTGCACCGTTTCATCCTGTGACTAGAACAGGGTTCCAACCTCCACCGTAAGTTGGTAATTCAAACCATCAACAATTCCTACACCAGAACAAAAAGCAGGTTTATTATCAGAACAGTACAAAAGACCATACAAAGCATAAAATCATGTGACGCAGGATTTCTCACGTTTTGAGGTGGTTGTCAAGATTTATACCCCAAGAGACAACAAAGGACTAGAAGGACATCGAGTCCACACACGTATCAAACAAAGCGAAGTACAAAGAATACGTAAATACGAGAACAACTTCTTGGACAATGTCAGTTTTCCTATAACCTACTCGAGATATGCATAATTATAGTATGTCTCACATATACAACGAGAAAAAAAAACCAAAATCAGATTAGCTAAGCAAGATTCTTGGCACTCCTAGATGATAACAAATGACAAGAAAAGCAATGAAAATCAAGTTGTGATAATTACGAAAGGCCGCTCGTAAACGCATAACGACGCCCGTTTTGATGTGAAAAACATTACAAAGGTGAATGACTCCTTTGATTGTATACACTGACTAATACTATCTTTGTGAAATATCATATGCTAAGGAACATCTCAGGCAATAACAACAAAAATCACGAAAGCGTAAGAGATTTGAGAAAAAATGAAATATCATGTTGGCACGTACGGAATGAATGTATTCAGCAGTAAAGCTTGCAGACCGAAAAGAACACAGGAACTTCAAAGTTCTAACGTCACATTTCGGTAGACGTCGTCTGGTCCCATCGCCAGACGCGCGGACGAGTACGCCGCATGCAGTATTGTTTCATTTGTACCTATCCTGAAAAGACAAAAAGATCACATGGGCAATTCCAAACAAGTATAGAATTTTCCAAAACAAATTTCGCATCTGATGAAAAGAATTTGCCCCTCTTCCATTTTTCAGATCTGCTACAACCAGCGCAAAGAATGCGTTAGGGAAGTGGGGTCTACGGCACGCGCCATACTTGATCTGCTTAATCCACTTGATCCGCTTGATCCGCTTCGGCATTGGTCAATTCAGCGAATGACTGATTGTGAAGCCCTGAAGTGGATCAAGCGGATCGAGCGAACAAGGGCTTTGCTATTCTTCAGTTCACTGAAGTGACCGATGACAAGGCGGTTTAAGCGGGTAAAATATGACGCGTACCGACAACGTGCAGGTCTTATGAGCCGTCAGAGCTCCTATGATTGGGAATCCCGCGGCCGCTCGCGTGTTCTTAGGTTCGGTGGCGTATCTTTAATTTTTCATGCCTGAGCTGTGAAGGCTGGAAAAATGCCCAGCGGATACGTCTTCAAGCGCGGCGCAAAGCGCGTGACGGCCACGAGAGTTGAACTGCCGGAGGTAACATACCCACTGAGTCAGTCGAGTGACGAAAGAAAGAGATGTATTTTTGAAGTATCATCTACAGTCTAATCGATTTTTTGTATAATAGATGTGCTTGCGCATCGAAAATTTGCGGTAATATTTGCGCGTGGAATAGCTGCGCCAGTAGTGCCGGCATTTTGCGCGCGCAAGTGAAAGCATCACGCGTAGCTAATAGTTCACGCGCAGATATCACCGCAGAATCTCGGCACCGCAGGCACACTTACATTAGCCGGACGACTTTTTCGTCTTTCCTAAGTCTAGAAGTACTGGTCCAAGACTGCGCTCAAGCATCGCAAGACCTGCCTATTTTTTTGGGCTCCCTTTGGACTCAAAAGTACAACAGAGATTCAAATGGTCCAGGAATGATGAAATCGCAGCTATGCCAGACCACTGCCTTCTATCAAAAACTTCTGAAAGCTTTCAAGCGAAGGCAGGCTTTGCACAAACATTTTGCTCTAATCAAAGTCTGTGATGAGCAAACTTCATAGCGTGACTGATTCAAGTTTTGGCAAAAGTTCAGCTAATTAGATGCGGCTCTTGGCGCCACTATTAACTACAAAGCCACAGACAGCAGAAAGGATGCGCGTAACATAATATATGACGATGGTATCATCATTCATTCGCTACAATCATAAACCACTATAAATGCAACAAATGTATTCATATGTATGGGCTATTATACAGCGCATCAAAGTGATTCATTGCCCCAGGATCTATATAAACGGAACAAACGCTGTTTTACGATGTTGTTCGAAAGATGATGCTAATGTACGTTATTAACATTACCTGAGTGATCGATCGATGCCAAATGGTTTCAGATGGTAGATTAGATACTCCAAAGCATACATGAGATTTGCATTGACATAGTGGAATGAGATAGCGTAATCTGAAACCATCTGAGATAAGCAAGGTCGAAGCAAATAATAAGACTTAGATCGAGAAGTGAATTTTAGGTATAGAACTGCTTACCAGAACAACAGCCAGGGCCTTGTTCGAAGGGATAGTAGGTATACGACCAAAACCAGAACGATTTATCAACATGGCCAGGCATGATATGATGTTCCGGTACAAAAGGCATGAACCTGACAAAAGGCTGATGAGATTCAAGAAAGAAACAGCGAAAGACATTGAAAGATACCTGTGGTGTTGTGCACTGTCACGTGAATCGCCTGCAAACACTCCAATCTTCTCCAAACACTTTCCCATTTCAGCATCTTCTGCTCCACCATGATTGGGAGAACATTTTTTCGGGTCAGTGAGACCTTCATTGACAAACCTAATAAGGAGAAAATTAGCAATTCCCAGCTGAGATGTTGAACTTACTTTCGCAAAGCTTCACGGCTAAGTACGTATCCAGCACCACCGCTATGATAGCCTTGCTTGGTGAAAGGTTTGAATTTGCATCCAAAGTGGATAGGTTGATCGGGAGAGTGAGGAAGAAGTAAATATCTACACATGTGATAACTGAGTGACAAATCTTGAAGTTTCAACAAGGGCTCACCTCAAATTCTCGAGAACGACATACGTGTCGTCGTCGGCTTTCAAGAACCAGTCGTATTCATTCTGAAAGGGATTTTCAGGTTTGAGACTAACAATAGGATGTATCATTTAAAGGCAGTGTCCGGGCAAAAACTCGATTTTGAGATTTTGTGCTTATACGGACCTATTCGCCATGCTGAATCCGAAAATCCACATTGGAAAGCGCGAAAACGGCGAAAAAGGGCTCTAATATGGGAGGGAATTCAGCAGGTGGGCGGGGCTTTCCCCAGTGCGATTTCACGCTCCCAGCTTCCGGAGCGATTTTCTCGATTCCGCTAGCCGTTCTAACATCGCTACCGGCCAAGTGCGAATGATTGACTTGAAACCGGAGGCGAGAAGGTCGCTCCGGAAGCCGGGAACGTGAATTCGCAGTGGGGAGGACCCCGCCCACATGCTCATTTCCCTCCTGTGTTAGAGCCGTTTTTCGCCATTTTCGCGCTCTAAAATGTGCATTTTCGGATTCAGCGTAGCGAATAGGCCCAAGTAAGAACAAAATCTCAAAATCGAATTTTTGCCCGGACACTGCCTTTAAGGTAAATGTAGCATATATTACAATGACTGAACTCAAATGTTGCTATAAAATCGTAAAAGAACTTTTGAAGAGTCAACTAAGATTGGTTTAGACATTCTATGAATTTTATAATGTAAGTTTCATAAAGCTATAACGGTACCAAATCAGCATTTGAATGAACCATTGCTTCAAAAAAAAAAAAACCCAGAAAGCACGATCACTACAAAAAACAGTACACTGACAAAGGGTAAAAAACTCACCAAATGATGATCATACGCGTATTTAAAAGCGGCTTTAGTTTTTGCCCATAAATAGTCACGTCCTTCAGAAATGTTCAGATTAACCGCTGGTAACTCGGGATCAGCCTCTGATGACATGAACACATACCTAAATTCACCCATTTACAATTTATTCATTATTAGTCTTAAAGATTACGACTAACTTATTGCAACGTTTGGCCCAAGTCGCTTTCACATGTATAGCTCGTTTTTGGTGGTTTTGCTTGCCAGTGAGTATCCAGCAAAATATCCGAACCTTTTCAGCTATAGCATCGGCGACAACGCGTTCACCTAAACATTAGTACTTGAATTATTGAGAACAAAGTTTTTGAACTGCAACAAACCCGCATGATCATGACCAGATCCGTTTGCATGGAACACGATGGCCTCTTTGGGCGCTTCATCATCATTTACTTCCGCCTCCTCGTGTGCGTCGTGGATATGCCGATGCGGTCGCAACGGAGCAAAGGACATTGATGTGCCATACTGGAATAGAAATCTTGTTGGATAAAGAAAAAGTTGCAACTTTCTTGCTTCAGATTCGTGAGATTACTGCCTTTATATGTAAACAGTAAGAAACCCAGCAGCTGGAACTCTAGTCGGTACAGCAACAAAAAGTGCCAACAGTTCTAAGGCCCTGCCAGACTTCGCTCAAAAGCGCCCAAAAGCGCCCAAATTTCTCTAATGTCTCTTCACTTTCTTGTGAGGAGAGATGAGAGTAAGAGAAGAGAAATTAGCGAGCTTTGGGCGCTTCTAAGAGCTTTTGGGTGCTTTTGAGCAAAGTCTGGTCGGGATTAATCCACAAAGTCAATGAACTGTAATTGTAGGAGCCCATCCTTTTCCCCTTCGTTCTACATGAAAAGTACATGATATGCAGAAAGCGTGCATGCTATTTGCATATTTTGAATTTGCATTGCAGAAACGCACGAAAAAAATTCATTTGCATACACTACATCATAGTAGGACGTGTAGAGGATACAATATTTTGCGCTACGTCTTTTTGTACACGTCGATACATTATCGTGACAGCGAGTAATTCAAACTTGAAAAAAGCACGCTAAAGCTCTGACGGCAAAGCACACTAAAGCATGGCAAACTTCTAAACTCAAACTTATCAACAAAGCATTCTCGAAAGAAGTGATTTAACTGCGAAAAGGATTTCAGGAAAATTCCTGGAAGTTTAGTCAGGCAATTCAATGAGCAAATTTTGCACGGTGACGAGGATGAGCAACAACAGTGTTGTAAAGCATTAAGCAAACAAAAGGTCAGCCTATGCGCAAACATATAGTACTGTTGTTTCCGTGAAATCGCTTCACAGTATAACGGTGCGAAAAAAAGTAACCAAGAAAATAAGAAATTGAGAAAACTAAATAACAACACTTACCCCTCCTCCGGTACGGGAAACGATGGAGATGCAGAGGCCAATGACCACACCGATACCAATGTAAACGACGGGCGAAGATCTGGGAAGCTTCATATCACCGCGACATCTGCAAAATTAATATATTCAGCTGATAATTGGAAAAGTTAAAAGAAATAAAATCTGAAAATCGAGACATAGTGAGTGAACGTTTATAATAGCAGATGAGAAGTGAGTTAGAAAACCCCGTACATGACTGAAAATCTTTTGGAGTACACCCTGTAGTACTTATGGAGTATTCAAAGTCGAATATGAGATGCAAATTGAAACAGCACTACCAATGCAAATGCGGTTGGCTCGATTATCTGCATACGGTAAGGCGGATATGGCGCATATGAGCCGCACAAAAATAATGCACACAGTAATTCTCGATTTTTGTGAAAATCCATTGTGATCTTCGGCTTATCCTTTTGGCAATCTGCACGTGCCATTTTTTCGGCAACTCAGAAGGCAAACACATCTGACTGCTGTGCAAATCAAAATCTTCGCTGTCAAAGTTCGACATGGGCTTTTTTGCTCACCGAAAAAGCTAGAATTTGTCCTTTGCGTTCCTAGCAGTTGACCAGCTGCTGATGATCAGTTGTAGAAATGAATTTGGAGATGAAATCATATTTTGCGCTGCCGACAACATCTGCGCATAAACGTGACAGCGGCGGCCGTACGCGTAAATTACAAAGTTGACGGCTTCACGAGCATGGCATCAGTTCGAGCACATGTTGCCGTCACCGTAGGAGCACCATGTAACTGTCAAGCCCACTAGAGTATATTGCGAAACTCTTTGGATTTTATAGCCGAGTAAATCAAATAATTGGACTTTAGAAGTAGTCTTTGCGGATTATCGGTTTCCATGGAAATAGTCTCGCTACGGTTACATTGGAAGTTGACTTTGAGAAGTATCAGATGACAGAATCTACGATTTTACGTCTTTGCAAGCTTACAAATACCAAAGTCACTTTCGTCATAGAAGAGAAGTTCTGACTAGTTCTATTATGGACTTTTCAGATGCGCTCTGTAATTGTTATCTGGCGAGAACTCGACTAAATTTTTCTCAGCAGGACAGTTCTGACTTATACTGATTACTGTATCTGCCTTCACTTATTTGAATAGTGATTGGTTGGCTGAATTGCCGATCACTACTATACAGTACCCTTGTTAATGAGACATCTCAAAGGTAGTGTCTCAGCAGAATTTCGCTTTCCAGTTTTTTACCTTTTCGGAGCCTTTTCTTCATGAGGAAGCCATATCTGGTCTTTTCAGCGCATGAAAATGGCGAAAATGAGCTTTTTTCGAGCCTTTCAGGTCCGCATTCAGTGGAGAATACGCGCAAGTGGGAGGGCCCGGAACGAGAAAGGCGGGGCGCGAAAGGATTCCGGCTTATCTTCACTGAATGCGGACCTGGAGAGCTTCGGAAATGCTCATTTTCGCCATTTTCATGCGTTGAAAAGCCCAGATATGGATTCCTAGTGGTGAAAGGGCTTTGAAAAGGTGAAAAACGGGAAAACATCTGCCGAGACACTGCCCTCAAGGTTTTAGAAACTTTAGAGGCATTGTGGATAGAGCAACCACTAGAAGCAAGCCAGGCATGCAGCCCCGACGTTTGCCGCAGTCTTGTAGGCTGTCTCAATGACGATGTCACAGCTCCAGCGACTCGGTCCTTGCGACCGCCTCGCTAACCTTTGGCCGCGTTCGCGAACGTATCCTCTGAGCATCGTCTCACTCTTGCAAGCCTTGAATCGCTGCTCAAGCGTGGGCGAATGCCCAGAGGACGCGTGCATACGCGGCGCAAGCCTGTAGAGGCCGTGCAAGAGCAAAGGCGTCTGACAATGAGACACCGTCTTTGAGATAGCTCTATATACCCTTACACAAACGTATGGTGATTCACGAAAAGTTTTTTTTCTTAACAAGCACACATCTCTTTGAGCAATAAAACCTTCGAGCATTGCTGGATACGGTAATGTTTGCCGAGATATAATGTATACGTGTCAAAGCCGTCAAACGGTACAGTAAGAAGTAGGCGAATCGGAAAAGATACTGAATGTCTAAAGATAAATACGATGGAGAGGGGAAGAGGTGAACAATGTACGATTCGAACGCGGCAGTAGTTTAGCGTTTGTAGTGAAGACAACACTTGCGCGTGAAAAATGGTTGACGCGCAAAACCTGGGGCAATGCGCTATTTGCTTTTTTTACGCGGACGAGTTGTCGTTCTTACAAGCATAGCAGAAGTTTTCGCCTACTTCGTTGTTCTCACTATATTACTCTCAAATCTGCTGCAATAAACCTCACAAGTATAACCTTAGAAAACTTTTTCTCCTTTAGGCAAAAATATTGCTGATAAATGTGTACAATTTCTTTGTCGAACGAAGAAAAATGAAGCTGGAGGGCACATGATTTTGATCTGAATTCGTTAGGAAACTGAGAATGAGGCTTATTGAGCCACAGCACTCAAATGGCTATTTTCATGATTCTAATTAAAACTGGGTTTGGTGTCAATTTACATCATCACAATTTAACAATGATCACATGTCATGAACATTTAATATATCTTTTTGTGCAGCGTCGCTAAACGAAAAAACGAAATTGCTTTATTCAAAGACTAGTTGATTGCCAGGGGCATAGGCTATTGATCATTGAAATGAAATGAAGTTTTCATTTTATTGATGCTTGAAAATCGAAACACTGATACCACAAAAAGCTATCGATTCTGAGAGAAAATTACTTTCGAAAGGGTCGTTTGTTTGAGGTGAGACAATTTTTTACTAGATTCCACTTGACTAAGATGGACAATAGAAGCAACGACGTTGCTTGTACAAAACCTCTTATAAGTCTCTCCCGAATAGATGGTTGATAACGATGTAAAAATTGAAGAGAACATATGGGAATCTGATGCAGGTTTCCTTATTTAATCTCGAATTTTGACTAGCTTAACCAATATATCGCATCAAAGAATACCAGATCTTGCAGTTTGAGACTTTGCAATTTTGTGAAAATAATGAGGTGCTTGAAATGATGAAAGTGGTTTGAAAAGTCCAGTGATTATATATTCTTCAGGCCTCGAACAGAGTTCACGCGATTTGATCGTCGCGATTCAATCGCTTCAAGACAAATGTTACGAGTTCATTGCATGTCGATCACCTTGCATTTCGGTTGTGACACTTTTCCAGCTCGAAATTTTTGAATGTAAAATGAAAATGAATGAAAATAGCGGCGATTAGATCGCGACGATGAAATCGCGTGAACTCTGTCCGAGGCCTGCAGCATTCACGCTTTCAGCATGAGTCAAAACCGATGTCTTGGTAAATGTGGGTATCTGAGTTTCTCATGTGATAACTAACTGAAAGGTTCTATGTAAAGCCGTCGCCCAAGGGGAACTCGTATAATTCATTCGTAGCTGAGGTATTCGTTAGTAAACTTTCGCCCACTACAGTATGTTTGGGAGCATAGTACGGTGTTGGGCAAGAGTTTGAACTTGAATTTCTCGGCGAGGAATTAATCTTATGACCTGACTCTTGGATACGGGCTTACTTAAGATCTCTGAATTATCTTCCACATCAGAAATCAATCTGATTACCACATTTCCCACACTGCCCCAAACCATTCCCCCCCCCTCCCTTCCCAGCCCATGTTCGAGTTTGTTTTCTCACACGAAGATATATATCACGAACACACAATTCTTCTATTAGATGTTCCACCATAAGGTGTGACCCATAACCGCGATGAGTGTTCAAGATCTTAGCTGCTTTATGATGGATTAAACATGACAAGTCTAGCCATCTAAACAAAATTGGGTCACGGCTAAAGGAAGATGATTTATGAAGATGATTTATTGGGAAAAGTAGCGATATTGCTGCAGAATTCGAGAAATGGGAGAATTTATGCTTGCTTGAACAAGATAATCAAGATTCGTAACGATAACGATTTTTGACAAATGGTTTTCAATGAATAATGATTTTTGACTAGAGTAAATTATCAAGACAGTTAAAGGGTAAAACGCTTGGAAAACGACTGCACCTCAAATGATACTCAAACCGGACTTCAGTAATAGCAAGTAAGACCGTTACACTTTTACTCTGTTAGTCTTCTTACAATTTCCTGTTTAAAACTACAAATCATGTGACTATTTGAAATGATAAGTGCAAAAAATAGCTTATTGGGGAGAAATTTAGAACTCCACCAGTCAGTTCATTTAGTAAGATTTTGAGATTGATAAAGAAAAATTTGTGGGGAAACAAAACTGGGAAAAAATCAATATGGCTAGCTGACTCTTTGGGAATGATATGACATGGAATTATTTTTTGAAGTGAAAATCAGTGCGGCGAAAGTCCTGATAGTTCACGGATTAAGCAGATTAGCGCCGTTCCAATAGTTGCCAAACAATCTGAATCAATCATAGTATGACCTTATGTAAAGTGCTTGGGGGGGGGGGGGGGGGGCTCGCTCTCATCATGACCAGTCAGTTTTTCGTTAATTTGATTAATTTATCATATAAAGATTGACAAGGTATATAGGTGCTTTCGAATACAAAAATCTTTATATTTTTATTTTCTATTTTTATTCTTATGGTAAGGAACTATAATTAAAATTCGAGGTGTAATTTGCATACTTGTACAAGCTGATTCTTCTGCTATTCTGCCAAATGCTTCAAAAAGAAATGCGCTTAAAAACCTTTATCCTTGTGTCTTTTTTCAAATATATTTGGGAAGAGTAAGGTTTCCTCATCTTTAATTGAAATGTTTCAAAAGAATTCATTGAACATGTAAGAAAAAATCAGCAAAAGAGAGAATAAATTAGAAAAAATAGAAAACTTCAGAGAATTAGGTAAACTTAATCTATTCTAGGACTAGGAGACGCCAGACTGCATTGCGGACATTGTCTCAACAAGTTTGAGTTTGTTGTACCTTGTTTCTCAAGAGTAAATGAATCTGGACGAGATAAATAACAAGCATAAACCTGCTAAGAACACGATTAGGCTTGTTTAGACAGTGTGTGCAATGCGGTCTCGCGTTTCCTATTCATATTAATAGAATGAAGCATAAAAATTTAGAGAAATCAAACTTTTGGTGAAGCCGTA